CCAATTTTTCCGTAGTCTAACAAGCCACCTTCTCATCATCTTGTCAAGATTTTCGTCCTCCAGCTTCCTCCATTCATCCAGCTGAGAATAAAACCAAGGAAGAAAAGTTGGCTGATATCTCCAAACCTTCTGAGTAATAAAAGCACCTGGGGACTTAGCAAGGCACCAGATGGTCTTCAGGTAACTGACTGAAGGCTGGGAATTCATGTCTGGATCAGCACTTGCTTATTCCATTTTATAGAGATAGTTAAAAACCCTTCAGCAATTTAAGCTCCCACCTCCCCATGAGAAAAACAGCAGACAGCAAAGCACCTACCATCTCCTCTCCATTGCATTTGCATGCTTTTGGGGCAGTGCTTTAGCTGCTAGGATGAGCAAGAGCCTTAGGTCATCTTAAAGAGCTTAAACTGATCTCAGGCTTTAAAATGCCTAGAGGTGGTTTAAGGACAAGAACACAAAACACCATGTATCTAAGACTTGCAGCAGCCTCAGGTTTCTTTTTTTCTTTCTTTTTTTCTTTTTTCTTTTTTTCCTTTACATGCATTCTTTTCCTGCACAGCTCTGAAGTCACCAAAAAGTCTATGACAAGCTCGGAGGAGCTTTGCTGGTGGCACATTTTAATGGGCAGGGTGGTGATGGGTTGAGAGCTGGACTGGGTGATGATTTTATGGGTTGCAGCAGGGTCAGCCTTGGAAAAGCATGCTGCTGTGGACATGCTTAGAGCTGAGCTTGTATTTTTGTATCTTGAATTTGTGGTGTCAAAAGAAGCCTGGCAAACATTAACAGCTAACCACAAGTTCCACCCACAATGAAAACCAAAACCCCCCGATCGCCTACCACAGTCCACCTTTCAAACCAGTGCTTTTTAATAACTGTCCCGAGGAAAGAACTAGCACAAAACCATTCTTTCTTTAAACAAACGGTCTTCTCATATGAATAAACATTTAAATTTCTCATTTTAAATAAGCCATTTTCTCCCTTGTTTAAATAAGCAGTTCTTCTTGTGAGTTAATTTTCTTATGATTCAGCATAATTCCTATGAGGATTTCCTCCTGCTTACCAAAAGGGACTGAATCTACACCATTCCCATCACTGCAAATCATAGAGTTGCAGAATCATCAAGGTTGGAAAAGATCATCCAGTCCAACCATCAGGCCATCCCCACCATGCCCACTAACCATGGCCCTCAGTGCCACATCTACACTTTTCTTGAGCATCACCATGGATGATAACTCCACCACTCCCTGTGCAGCCCGTGCCAATGCCTCACCCCTCTTTCTGATAAGAAATGTCTCCTGATATCTAACCTGAAAATGCCAAGAAGAGCTGTAAAATTATATATATGTAAATAGTTGCTTTGGAAGGAATGCTTATCGTGCTAGTCAGATGATAATTAAGATAGTAACCCATACTGCCAGACTGGAAGATGTTTTGTTCTGGGATTTTATTGTGTCTTAGGCTCATTTTAGAGACTGGGAAGCACTGGGGATGTCACTTTGCTCGAGAATAGGATCATATGATTCTATAATTCTATGAGTTCCTTGCTGAGCTCTACACTTGTTCATGGCATCATTACTAACAGCATCCATGTGAGTGAAGCCTGACCAGCATCAAATGACTTTGCCCCCATAGTGCATACATACATATGTGTGTAATGTGGATGTGACTGTTAATGTTCATTATGGAACTGTGCCATACTAAGGGCCCCAAGCAAACGTGGCTGTATGCAACCACATGAAATGTATGCCATCCGCAGAGGTAAAAAATGTAACTTGGAATACCACTCCAAAAATAAGGTCATTTTATTTAGAAACGAAATGTCTCACAAAAAAGTTTATTTTCAGTGTTCCCCTGAATTCCCAGAGTTTCCATAGAAGGCTTTATAGAAAGAAATGGAACTCCACTGTAAGGGTGTGAAGCTTTTGCTGAACTGATGTCTCATCAGCAATCCTCAATCTTGTATTCCTGTCTGCTTCATTTTACCACTCTATTGAAGTTCTTGCAATCTAGTTGTGAGCGACTGAATACTGGCTTCTGCCATACAGAGCTGCTTCACTGCAGCATGCCCTGCTGTATGAGGCCCTCGCAGAGAGAAGTTTTCATATAAGATTTTCTTTTTTTTTCCTTAAAAAACACCTATTCTTCAAATAACTCAGTGCTCCACAATGCCTCTGCAGGAGCCCGTCAGTCAAGTAACATTACAGACTCCCTAAATCCAGCCTGACACCGCAGACTGCGATGACTCTAAGGGGCTGTTGTGGTCCTATTGAGCAGTGCTCCCTGCCTGATGGCAGCATCTCATACACTTCTCATTAAAGCTGGAGATTTATACATTTTCAGTTGTTTCAAATATGAGTTATTTTATCACGCGCACAAAAAGAGCACATTCACATGATGTCAAAGGTGTGGGCTAAATTGGGAAAGGATTTGCAGGCTGACATGGCCCTTATGCTTAGAGTTTGAAGTGTGGGCAGGAATTTGAGTAATTTTAAGTAAAATTTTTGTCTGCTGAAAAGGAAAGCGAGCAATGCTGTCTGGTGGTAAGATTTCAGTGAGATGCTGAGGGAACCAACACGACTTCTGAAAGAGCAGCGGTGGATGGCTTGGCTCTGCTGCAGCTCCAGTGTAAGTTATGGCACCAGTCCTCTGCTCTGATGGAGTTCTTTGGCCTCTGTCATGCTGCAGATCAGGGTAAATGACTGCACTTGCCCTTTGTGGCCTCAGATTCTCTCCATTATCTCCTGAAGACAGGAGGTTATGGTCAGCAGCTCCATTCAAGCGAAACTCAACCAACGTCACCGCATGGCACTTCTGACAAGCAGTGATTCATTTGCTTGCCAAAAAGACAGGAAACACCACGTGGGCGTGGGCTGAAGGGAAACTCTCCTTCTGGTGTTGGCTGCATCTTTTTGGGTCAGTGACATGTATTATTTCCCAATATATCAATTTGCAGGTGCGGATCGGGGGTTAGTATTGGGGCCTGTTTAATATCCTTACTGAGCAGAGCAGTGAAGCTGTGAGGGTTCTGGAGCACAAGTCTTAAGAGGAACAGCTGAGGGAGCTGGGATTGGTCATCTGGAGAAGAGGAGGATCAGGGGAAACCTTATCACTCTCTGCAACTGCCTGAAAGGAGGTTGTGGCAAGGTGGGAGTCAGCCTCTTCTCCCAATTAACTGTGATAGGATGAGAGGGAATGGCCTCAAATTGCACCAGGTTGGATATTAGGAAGAATTTCTTCTCAGAAAGAGTGGTGAGGCATTGGCACAGGCTGCACAGGGAGGTGGTGGAGTCACCATCCCTGGAGGTGTTCAAGGAAAGGGCAGATGTGGCACTGAGGGCCATGGTTAGTGGGCATGGTGGGGGTGGGTTGGTGGTTGGTCTGGATGATCTCAGTGGCCTTTTCAAACCTTAATGATTCTCCAGTTCTATGCTTATATGACCAGTTTGGGAACTGCTGGTGACACGACCACAGGGAAAGAAGGAGCACACAAGGGAGGGAATTCCTATAGATAGCAAAAGGCAGGAGATGTCAGGAGCAGAAGAAAAGTCTCAGCTGCCCAAAGCACAACACGTAGGCACCCGTTGCGGGGAATCCCAAAAGTTTTGGGCTGCCGATGTGATAGGAATTGAATTAAAAGAGTGCACTGAGAAATACAGAAGCTGGCACACGTGTGGCTCTGCCCAGCAGAGGGTAGCATTGCCCGGACACCCCGGCCTGCTCAGCGCTTTCCCCACTTTTTTCCCCACCACAAGTCCTCTTGGCATGGTGGTGGTGGGGGGGCACAGCTCAGCTCCAGGAAAGCCTGTAAATTCTGCCCATAAACTATGAAAATCGGCTTCCAAAGTTGGATTTTAAGGATGTATTTTAAGTGCTTATGTTCACGTTCGTATCTTTTTGTAAGCCCGTGTTACTTAGCTGTGTTAGAATTTTCACGTGCCTCATCCGACGATCAGTGTTTGAGATTTCTGACTCTCCTGCACCTGCCACCAGCAAAGTCCTCAACTTCAGCTCCCAGCCGGGGGAAGAAATACACTTTTTAGTTCCTTACCCATCACCAGCAACGCCCTGCGATGCTCTCTATGCGAGTCCCTCCGGCCGCTTCCCCCGGGCGGGGATTTCTGCGCTGTCACGCCGGGGGATCCCCGCCCGCAGCCCGGCGCCGCTCCGCGCAGTGTGAGCGCTGCGCTGCGCCCCTTTTGCGCCCTCACTTTTGTGGGGCGGGTTGGGCACCGCCAACCGCGCAGCGCCCGACCGCACTGCACAGCGTGAAGCTTTTTTTTTTTTTTTTTCCTGCTTTCCCTTTTAATTTTTTTTTTTTTTTTTTTCCCCTTGGCTTTCCCTCCCCTCCCGTTTGACGTGAGCGGTTTTGGTGCAATGCGAATTATCTTCAGTCATTCAGTCAGGAGGGGCAGCGCCAGGCAGCACAGCAGCGCCGGGGTTGCCTCCACCTCCTCGTCCTCGTCCTCCTCCTTCTCTTCCTCCTCCTCCTCCTCCCATTGCCATAACAACCGCGCACAGCCGCTGCCGCCGGGGCCGCACCGCACCGCGCCCGGAGGGCTCTGAAAGTCCCACGGGAGACGAGGGAGGGGGAACAGAATCCGTGCGGGCAGAACGTGAAGGGGAGAGAATCGATGATCCTATAAAAAGAAAAAAAAAGAAAAAAGATAAAAAGAAAGGAAGGGGAAAAAAAAAAAAAAGAAGGGGAAAAAAGGATTTTTTCCCCCGGGGTGGATCTGTCGGTGAGGACCAAAGTGACCCCGAAGAGAGCTGCGCTCGAGAGTGCGGAAGGAGGGGGGGACGGGGACTAGAGCTGGGGACACGGAGGAGGGGGGGCAGAGAAAGTTGGGACGAAATAGCCCAGTAAAAGTGGCACTCGCGGAGCGCGCCCGAGCGCGGAGGAAATAAAAGCGGCGGAGGGCAGGAAGTGTGAGGAGGAGGAGGAAGAAAAAAAAAAAAGAAAGAAACAGCAGCAGCAGCTGCCGCCGCGGCAGAAGAGAAAGCAAAAGCCGCACGGCGGCGCGGGGCCGGCCGGCATCCGCGGGGCTGCGCGGCGCTGCGCGGAGCGGCCATGGCCCGGGAGAACGGAGACGGCGGCGGCTCCTGGAAGAAGCAGGCGGAGGACATCAAGAAAATCTTTGAGTTCAAGGAGACACTGGGGACGTAAGTGGCGGGGATGCGCGGGGAGAATTGGGGCTGCGCGGGATTTGCGCGGGGTGCGCAGCGGGATCGGCGCGGGTGCGCGCTGCGAGCGTCTCAGCACGGGTAGGGATGGAAACGTGGGGAGAAACAGAACCGTGCGTTGGGCAGCGGAGTGGAAGGACGGCAGCGGGGCAGGCAAAAAAAATATATTAAAAGACAAAGAAACAAAAGAAAGAAAAGGGGGGAAGAAAAGGAAAGAAAGAGAAAGGAAAAAAAAAAAAAAGGAAGAAAGAAAAAGGGAAAAAGAAAAAAAAAAAAGAAAAGAAAAACCCGTGGTTTGAAATATTGATAGAATGAGGAGGTGTAAATAAACGCTCTGACTCGCACGCTGCGCCCCAGCGCCGATGGCCGCCTCTATTCGCGGGCGGACGGGCAGAAATAGTCGGAGCGGATTGGATGCGTTTCGCTGCGACGCTGAACTGCTGCTAGGGTTTATTTCTGTTATTTATAGTGGCGGGGCAGAAAGATTAGAAAAACGCTCGAGTTGGTTTTTTTTTTTTTTTTCCTCCGAAGGCTCAGAATAAACATGCGCAGATGGTGGATGGGAGCAGGGTGCAGGATGCTGCTTTTTTGGCTGAGTGGAGTTTTATTTTTGTTACGTTTTTGCTCGCCGAGTGTTGTATTGGCCATTAAAGTTTTGTTGTGTGGGGAATGCTGTTTGCCTCTGTGCCACTCTGGCTTTCATGGCAACTTTGAGTGACTCCAAACTACGCTCCGTACTCTGCGTGCCACTTCCAAAGCACAGCTGAAGTTTCTGCTGAAATAGTTCAGTTTCTTTCTGCTTCCAAGGGAGGGCTCTCTACAAACAGTAATTCTGGTTCCTGGGCTCACTGATTACCTCCAATGATCTGCAGGTGAGAACCAGGCTGCTCGCTTGGTATGGAGGTGGGTCATCCCAACTGCACTGTGATGACCATGTAGTGGAGTGCTTGGAAAAATGCTGCCTTGGCCAATGGCACAAATGTCTGTCCAGAGCTTTGAAGATGCAGAATGCAGTGCAAGGGCTGAGTGTCGTGGGATGTTTTTGTCACCTTAATTGAGTTTTGCTGTCAGAATTTTGCGCTGTGAGAGATGTGTCCCTGTGCGTCACCTTTGGTGCGTGGTTCCCTTATTGAGCAAAAGGGCTTGGAGAGGAGGAAGGTCTTAGTGCTGGGAAATTCATTCATTTGCCTAGAGAAGCTGTGGGTACCCCATTCTTGGAGGTGCTGAAGGCCAGGCTGGATTTGGCCCTGGGCAGCCTGAGCTGGTGGGGACACCCAGCTCACAGCAGGGACTGGAGATGGAGGGGCTTTGAGGTCTCTTCCAACCCAAGCTGTTCTATGATTCTGTGACAGGACAGCTTTCTACACTTTCCATTATACAACTCCATGTTGTTTTCCCTCTTGAGGTGTAAAAAAGCCATCAATCAGGCCTAACTTGTGCCACTTAAGAGATCTAGAAGCATTTAACACTGTGGACTTGGTCCAAAACCCACTGAAAGTATAGGAGCAGTTGTAGGTCCTGAGGGAGGTACAGGTGATTCCAGTTCATAGTTGTGCCTGTTGGGATGGCTGTTGCAAATGTGATACAGTAACCACAGCCATTGAGTGCCTCCCCGCTATTCAGCACCATCTCAGCATCACAGCTGGGTCAGCAGGGCCCTCATGACAGGACTTCTTTAATTTGATGTTCTTTAGTTTGAGCAACCAGTCTAGAAAGTTTCAGAGAATCCAAATAGCTGGTCCTGTATGAAGAAAACAGAGCTGTTCTTTTCTGTGTCGTGGGCATGTTAATTCTGAGTGCTGTGCACTTTGCAGCCCACACATCGGTCGCCTTCTGGCTGTGCTTCCCGAGCTGCAGAGAGCAGCTGAGGGTCTGAAAGTGGGTGGTGGTTCTGTGTTCCCCCGAGTAGCATGTGTGGTTCTTTCCTGCTCTGCTGCCACTTACCAGGCAGGGAAACTTGTTAAAAAATTAGGCCATTCCTGTGCAAATCATTAAAGGAACTTCAATCTTCACCGAAGCCAATGAAGCTGTGCTCACTGACTCCAGCACTGAATACACAAGAGCTCAAATGATAGAACAAATATGGAGTTACTGGTAGAAAAAAAAAAAAAAAAAAAAAAAAAAAAAAGTAGGAATTAAGCTAAAGTCTAAATACCTTTAGAGCATCTGGATCCAAATGCTTTCCTCTAGCATTACTTAGCAGCAGGGATAAAATCTGCTTTGCTCCCTTTTGCGCAGTGATGCTGAACTGTGTGGGACATGCTGCGCTCAATCCGTCATTTAATAGGTTTTACTGGAGCACGGATGGGGCTTGGGGCGAGGAGCTGGAGGCTCAGTGAGGGGCATCAGATTGGTGTCAGTGCTGTGCTGGGCATCACTCTGCCTCCTCCCATCTCAGGATGCTGGAGCACAAGCAGCACCTGGAGCAGCAAAGCAGCCCTTTTTCTTGGAACCTCCGCAGCAGCTGGAACTCAGTCAGATGAAATCAGTGACAGTAAAAAGAGAACCAAACCTCCCAAACTGGGGGAGGGGGGAAGAGGGGAGGAGAAAGTGAAAGAGAAACTGTAAAAACGTTTTATGTTAAGAGCATTGATTTGTGAGCATTTAATGTGTGTGTGTACTCTGATAACGGTTTGCTCTCTGAATGGAACCTTTCCTTTCTATAAAAGGTTTTCCCCAGATCTTCAGCATGAGGAGAGATAAGACTGCTGTAATTATTAGAAAAGTCTTAGCTTGCTTAATCATGAAATCATTTGTGCTTCAAGGAACCTCTAACGAATACCCAGCTCTCTTCCACAGCAGCATTATGGCAGGCATCAATTATTTACATGGCCCCGTAAATCATGTCCATCCACACTGACACTGAAATAGGCATCCCGAATTGAACATCACCTCCGGCTTTAGGAAAGTGGCCTTTTGCAGCCAAAGACTCATTTCCTTCAGTAGCTGAGGTCTGGGCTGCTTGCTTTGCTCAGTGCTGATGGCAGTAGGGATTTCCTGAAGATGTTACCAGTGATGCATTGGCTCAGGTGGGACCCAACCCCAGGGCTGCGCAGCCTCCCATAAGCACAGCTTTTGTTTTATTTTCCCTTGGGAACTGGGAAGAGACTTTTGCTGGTACACTTCAGCTTCTGTGGTGGAAGTGGGAATAGGAGACGGAGGAAAAGGATTTGTAACCTCAGAGGGATTGGAGCACAGAGGGACGTGGTTAGTGGGTATGGTGAGGATGGATTGATGGTTGGACTGGATGATCTCAGTGGTCTTGTTCAACCTTGATGGTTCTATTAAGATAGACATTAGAGAAAAGAGTGAGGAGAGGGCAAGACCAGCAGAGACGGAAGAAAAAAGACGAAGGAAGCAGAAAAATAAAGGGAGTGTGGTGGGAAGGTTGAGAAACCATAGATGTGCCAATTTATGATTGCCAATGAACTATTTCGGTAATATTACGCATGGAAATGTAACAGAAACATGTGGAGATATGCTGATAAAATGTGGTTCCATTTCTGCAGTCTGTACAGAAAATTCCTCTTAGCCTCCAAAATTCTGTTTTGTATTTGAATTTTGTGGCTGTGGAAGCTATGGTCCTGATTCTATGTGTGCAGGTTCAGCACGGGACCCTTCTGAGCAATGGAAACTGAGGTTACATAACCAGAGAAGGTAGCCAGGAAGAAAAATGCAAAGGAAACACAAGATAAAATCATAGCAGTGGGTCAGATGCTCAGTGATTACAAATGAGAGTCTCTCTTCAGTCAAGACAAATAGATTTGAGGAAAGAAGGGGATCTGATCAGCTGCTTCTCATCTTAAATTTCAACAAATTCACCTGCTGTAGCTCAGCTCAATTCCCAGGCCTTCCTGGAGAGGGAGATTTCTGCCCTGGCCCTTCGGAGATGCCAAGTTTCACAAGAGCAGGAATCTGATAATATGATGAGTGGTCACTGAAATACTGTTTTCTCTCTGTAAGGCATTTCAAAGGTAAGATGTTGACATTTTGAGAAGTAGTATTACTGTTATCCATCAGCTAATCGTTTGGTCCATCTAACTGGAATGACCTCACATTTCTAATATATGTCACCAGGGCTTAGTGACATTGCAGTTACAATGAAGTTAACCTTAGCAGCTGTGGAAATGCTGGTGTTGTCCATAAATATGCTCCAGTGAAGTCCTTCCAGCTCAGTAATGACAACACAGGGAGCTGCATGGGTATAGTCATAAGGTAGTAATAGCTGGGTGGGAAGACAAGCACGCTGCGATGATGTCTTCAGCACTTTTCTAAAATATAGTTCAGAGAAAACTGTAGGTGGTTCTGTTTTCTTTCTTTCAGAGGCTCTACCATAGTCTCTACTGTTCAGGTCCCAGCATCTCAGGTCTGTTCCGTATTCTTAAGTCATTTGATGAACTCCTGCTGCTCTCTTGCATGCACCCATAGGTTTGTTTCTGATGTGAAGCACAGTTGTTCAGTCCTGCTGTCACATCTGTTTCCTCTCATTCACACGCACGCTGTCACAAACAATTGTGCTCAGTCGTCTTCAATTCTGTGCTCTCACATCCTTCATCATGTTTTCCCCACATAGTCCCACACTGACACGTAGGCTTCCATGAGCAGGCTGTCTCATGGTCCCATCTGCTCTGCATGCTCAGACCTTCATGGGGAACAAGGCTGCTGGAGGTGACATATCCTTTGTCCCTGACTTGGGCCAGGCAATCCTGGTGGTAGAGGTTCTCCATAACGTTGGAATAGCAGTGTAGAAGATGCTGAGAATACCATTTAGGCTCAAGGTCTGGTTGTCTCTATTCAAAGATCCTAGTGCTTTATCTAGAAGTTGGCAACCCTACCCACAGCAGGTGTAACTGATCAGTGAGGTCCAACACAAGCCATGTTATTGTTCTATGATTCTAGGATCTTCCCATCTTATCAGCTACGTGTCAACACCAGTTATCATAATGAACTTCAATGTGTTCAATACAACGAATCACCAC